GAAGGACTATGGAAGGGAGATATTTACTAGTGGGTCCCAAGAAAAATTTAAAATTTCATTGCAGAATTTCTGAACTAAATTGAAATAACATGGGAGGCTGAAAAGACTAAAATACCCTTTTGCAAAATTAACACATACTTGGTTATTACCTAACTTTATATGTTAATTGCTTACTTGTACTTGTTAAATGGTTAACTAGTCAATTTTGTGACTCTATAATTTTAAGAACATTACTTGTTAATTTCATAACTTTATTTATTAATTTGTCAACATGTCTTGTTATCTACTAACTTGACTTGTGAGTCCTTTACAAAACTTGTTCACTCAATTTGATCGAAAAGCACCATCATTAGTTATTAATTTTTTTACTTTTCGTGTTAATTTGTCAATATTAATTGTAAATTACCTAACTTCACTTGTCAATAATCATACTAATTGTCTAACTTTTACTTATTAATTTATCAATATTAGTTATAAATTAATTACATGACTTATTAATAATCATACTAATTCAATCATTGTGTCCTAAATGCAGAATTATTAGTTGTTAATTCTCTAACTTACTTATTGATTTATCAATATCATTTGTCAATCATTTTTCTTTCTTTTACAAAAGGGCATTTCAGTCTTTTCAGTCACCCATTTTATTTCAATTTAGCACAGAAATCTTGCAGTGAAATTTCATATTTTTTTGGGATCCACTAATAAATATCTCTCTTCCATGGTTCTTAGTTGAAATTTTCCTTGATATTCATATATTAATATTGATTCCTTTTCTTATTTTTCAGTTTTCACAAAACTCATTAGATACATTTTAAAAAAAAAAGCTCCCAATGTTGAGTCTTTTTTTGCCCTAAAAAATGATTCTGTATTCTTTCAAAGTATTAGCTATCCTGTACATTGTGCGGGAAAAAAAAAAAAAAGGCTACTCGGACGGAAATATTCATTGTTGTAGATTATGATATATTTTAGGAAAAATTAATCTTTTAGTCCTTCAACTTTTAACTCACTTGTAACTCAGTCCCTCAATTATGATTCGCCGCGACTCAGTCCTTCAACTATAACTTGCTGCAACTCAGTCCCTCAACTTTTGATTTACCTATAACTCGGTCCTTATTTTTTAATTTTTTTATCAAATAAGAGGGGTCAAAAAAATACTTATATATTATTTTAAAATACCCTCTTCTTATTCATTAATGTGAGATAGAAGTTAACATGAAAAAAAAAATTAACAAAAGTTAAGAGACTAATTTGTAAGTTATTCAAAAGTTGAGGGATTGAGTCATAAGCAAGTTATAGTTGAGGGACTAAGTCACAGCGAGTCATAGTTGAGGGACTGAGTTACAAGTGACTTAAAAGTTGGAAGACTAAAAGATTAATTTTTCTTATATTTTATTATATAACTTCAATTTTCATATATTTCTGTCGAAAAGTTCAAACATTCTCCTCCCCACCATAAACATAGGCTAGCAGGCTAGCTAGAAAAGGAAACAAAAACTAAAATCATTACTTCTATTTAAATATTCTTTGTTATGTAGTCGGGAACATGTGGACTAATCTTTTTCTTGACAAGCACATGTTATTCTTTTTATTCCATCTCTCGATATCCTGTAAAACTTAGGGATATTATCACTTTTCGTCTAAACTAATCCAAACCCCTGCTTGTGTGGACCATTATTATCAAAGGCGGCCTCACGGTGCTTCGAAGATGTCTTTAACATATTTATTCACCATGATTGCTTATCCCAAAACTTGAACTTGAAACTACAGGATAAGCTGATTTCACTCCCTCAATTAGTTGAACTAAGCACCTTTTAGTTAAGCACATGTTATTTTAATTTAAAGAAATAAAAATTTAGGTCTTACGTAAAACGATTCTTTTGAGGCAATCCAATCGGCAAAATGGTTTCAGATTTTGGGGAAGAACAAAAGCAGTTTCTTTCCTTTATTCCCTTTTGTAACCCTAAGAAGTTGCATTTTAGTGCATGAGCCATTGTATTCTGGTTCAAATTTCACAAGTTTTAGCAAAGTCTTGAAATTTTATGAAATTCATGGGCTCTCAATTTCAGAAAGTTGATTTATAAATTTTGGATCACGTGAAAATTTTGTTGATGAGGACACTAGAAATCTCAGATCCGATTCGTGAAGCTTCAATTTCTTTTATATCTTTTATAGCTTGTTTTTGGATTTATAGGTATTTGGATTTGAATCAAATCACTCAATTGGATATACAAAATTTATAAATTTAGATTTAAATCAAATCTAAATCTATGTTTTTATTATAATTCATTTGTTATTTCAAATCCTTTATATACCGTAATTATTTAAAATTTTTGTCACTTAAAACCTCTCGTTCTTTTGACATTTTCATTATTGATACTTTTGTAATGTTGTATATTTTCTCATTTTCGTCAATAGTTGATTGAAAAATAGAAGTAAACACATCACTCCCATTTTGTTGTTGTTTTTTGTTTCAAATTAAATCTCAACTAATCTATTTTCTTCATTTAAAAATTTTTAAACAATCCAAGTAACGAATTTGAAATATATGGATATTTAAATGGGAGATTTTAAATCTAAAATCTAAATCCAAATCTACCAATCAAAACTCTAACTTAAAGTTTTGGAAAAAAAAGTAGTAATTAAAAATTATTTTTTCATACAGCTTGCCACCGCGTACCCCACAAGCTCATGCCATTGGGGCTTCTCTACCTGGTTTGGCCAAACAAGCTCGAATGATTGCATGTCTTTTAGAGGCTATAAGAATTCGTTCGGAATTCACATAATCATCTCATGTTACCTATGAAATTAATAAGTTTCACCCCTCCCCGTTAATGTTAATGCATATCTACAGTGAAATATTCTTTAATTATTTGTGAAGTAACGTGATATTTATTGAGTCACAGTAAGAACGACGAACTCTTACTATTTCCTACTTAGAGCGAGTGAGAAGTACAGAGGTTGGTGATAGCATGATGTGAGATATACATAAAGAATTTTGAAGCTTATTGGTTGGCATTTTGGAGTCTAAAAATATTCTCTCTCTTCATGTGAAAGAGGCTACAACTATAAGAATTGATTCTAACTGTGTGTGAAAAGCATAAGTTCAAAGAGAGAGCCCATCTCAAAAGACTAGCCTGTTGGGTGGAAGAGCTCTTTACACTTATAAACCCCACAATATTTGTGAGGCTCCTTGATGTGAAACTCGTGACAATGCCACCCCGTCAAGAGCCAATGTCTCCGTTGGCTTCACTCCACGGCACGTTACTCGACCTTCTACCAGTCAGAACCCTCCGTGGGTAACCCTTTCCGTGACACCGGACTCTCAACGAAATATGTCATGTCACCAATATTATAAAAGGATTTGGATTTTATGAGTGCTTAGTATCTTCTCACTTGGTGAGCAATGGCAGAGCTGGAATCCTAAACTTAGGGCCAATTTATTTAAATAATAAATTTTTAAAATAATTAAAAAATAAAAAATTGATAAATAATTAAATACTTATAGTTTTTTCTACAATGTTTTTATGTTTCGGAATCCTTGAACAATTAGCTTACTGTCATTCAATTGACTCAATGGGTTTCAAGTTGAAAATATCAAAATAAGAGGTGCAAAATATGAAAAAAAGGAGGCAGCTGGAAAACTTTATAGTCTAATGTGTAATTTTTTTTTTTTCCAAGTGCCCCTCTCACATGCACGTGGCTTTGCGACTGCCAGTGAACATCCACACTACTAGTGGCTGAGCCACATGTAGTTCAAGGTGCCCCCCGCCCTCGGAAAATGACATGCATGGAGCATGAGTTTTCATATTTTGTAGTTCGCAACTTCTCCTTCTTATACTTTGTATTTCTTTATTTTAATATTTAAATTTTAAACCTATTTTGATTCTACTTTTTAGTCCACATCTAAAATTCAATTTTTTAACTCAAAGCCCAATGAATATTAGCCCATAATTTTACTATACATAAATACAAATATTATTCATTAATCCTTTAAAAATAGAAAAGAAATTGAATTCGATTAAACTTGACCCGTGTCGTCCTAGTTCCAAACACTAGTCAGGGACTAGTAAAAACAAAAAAAAAAGATAATGAAGAATGAAATTCAAGACTTGTTAAATGCTTTTTCTTGACTCGTTGCACTTACGAGAAGGTTGAATTAAAAAACAAAGAGAAAGAAAGAAGGAAAGATAAATAGTAGATTTGAAAGAGATATAAAGGTTTTCTTTGTGTTAAGAATCCTGGCTTTGCCATTGCACACTACAGCTATAAGATTTCATCAATGCTTGAAATTTTTGCTTAATTAATGAAACGATGAGTTAAAGAGAAATTTCATGAAGATGCATTCCAACAATTTCTTTGAGATCATATGAATCATTGGATTAAGGTATAGGATACAACAAAATGTAGAGTTTTGATTTCGTGTTTTTTATGTATCTTGTATACCTACATATTCGACAAACGTTGGATCAAATCAATAATTTTTGTAGTTTCACGTGGGACACTTACCGTACTGAGTGATGAGATAATTTGAGACACTCATCGAATCCAGATCCTATTATAACGGAGGGAGCATGGAGGTTGGTGTGCTGAAAAACTAACGAAGCCCATATAATAACGAGAAGAAGTGAGAGCATTAAGTGAGATAGAGAGAGAGAGAGAGAGAGAGAGACACACACACACACACACAGAGGGAATTAATTGAAGCTTCTTAGTAATTGGCTTCATTAAGAGTAATGAGTAAGAATCTGCCTGCAAATTATAATATCAATGTAAAATTGGGGGAGTGACACATGCAGATAGTGTAAATGTAAATGGATCCCCATTTCAAACCCTCGCATCAAACTTTAGATACTGTAAACTCTTACTTTTTCAGCTTATAAAACCCCACATCGATTCCACAAGTTAGATCTAATTAAATTAATAAGAATCTTCATCTCATCGTCAAACTCTCAAGTTTTCATTCATTCATTAATTTATCTGAAGCTCTATCCCAAAACCATGACGATCATGAAATGTCTACAGATCTCATTGTCACTCACTTCCTCCTCCTCCGCCGCCACAACCTTCACCATCGACAAATCTCATTGCACAATAAAACGACCCCACAACTCGTTGACGTCGGACTACAGTCCAGCAAGCTCATCGTCCGACATCACTAAGTTGTCGTCTTCATCATCTTTGTCCTCCTCATACTCCTCGTCGTCGAGGTTCCACCTTGGAAAGAGATGGATGGAGTACCAAGGTTCCAGTGACTGGGACGGTTTGCTGGATCCGTTGGATGATCATCTACGAGCCGAGATTCTCAGGTACGGCACTTTCGTCGAGGCTGCATATAAATCCTTCGAATTCGATCCTTCTTCACCTTCCTACGCAGCATGTCGCTTCCCCAAGAGCAAATTCTCCGACCGGTGCTGTTTGCCGAGCACCACCGGGTACAAAGTAACCATGAACCTACGAGCAACCTCAGGGATTGAGCTACCTCGTTGGGTCGAAAGGGCGCCATGCTGGTTCTCGAACAAGTCCAGCAACATCGGCTACGTAGCTGTCTGTGACAACAAAGAAGAGATCAGACGACTTGGCCGTCGAGATGTCGTGATTGCATACCGAGGAACAATCACGTGCTTGGAATGGCTTGAAAATTTACGTGCCAATCTCACCCATATTCCTCTGGAAGGCTCTGAATCAGAGCCGGAGGATCATGGACCTATGGTGCAAAGTGGGTTCCTGAGTCTGTACACATCAGCTGCTTGTAATTCTTTGAGCCTTCAACAAATGGTCCGTGAAGAGATTCATCGGATTCTCCAAACCTACGATGGCGAACCCTTAAGCTTGACCCTCACCGGCCACAGTCTAGGGGCGGCGCTGGCGACACTCACAGCGTACGACATCAAAACCTCCTTGTGGTTCGAGCACCGGAAGCCGATGGTCACCGTGATATCGTTCGGCGGGCCTCGTGTTGGAGACTGGACGTTCCGGCAGGAGCTAGAGAATCAAGGGACGAAGGTTTTACGTATAGTGAATTCCGACGATGTGGTTACTAAAGTGCCAGGGTTCGTCTTTGAACGTGATGATGACGTGGCAGATGGTAGGAGTGCACACGTGGCAAGGTGGGTCAAAAAGAGATTGGAGGATGCGCAGTGGACTTACGCGGAGGTGGGGAAGGAGCTTCGGTTGCGTAGCACGGATTCTCCGTACCTCAGTGGGTTGAATGCTGCCACGTGTCACAATCTGAACACGTATCTCCACCTAGTCGATGGCTTTGTTGGTTCTACGTGTCCTTTCAGAGCCACCGCTGAGAGGTTCATCCGTGGGTGACGCAAGAATGTTATCCGTTTAAGTGACTAAATTGGGTAAATGTGCAAATTATAATATAAACTTTAAGTCCAAGATCAACTTATTTATTGTGTAAATTAATCTTTAATTTTTAAAAATAATGCAATATAATTCCATTCTTTAAGACATAAAAAATGACTACAAATTACAATGAAGGACCTAAAATTACAGACAAGAACCCATAAAATTATAGAAAGGATTAAAAAATTTTGGTTCATTTTATTTAATCAAAATTTTTGGTCTCTTAGTCAAATGAATTAAAGGATTAATTAAAATTTAATATATGATTAATATTTTATTATAAAAATTATTTTACATTCAAATATTTGGGTCAAGTTTGAACCTAAGCAGGCTTGGCATGACAATTTTTAGAGGTATTTGGGCCAGCCCAAATGGGTCAAAACATTAAAAATGATTATTTTACTAAGCTCAATTTTAAATTTTTTTAAGTTTATTTGGGCTTTAGCATGAATTATTGATTCTATTGCAAAGTGTGGAGATGAAGACTGAAGGAATGGAGGAGAGAGAATGTGGGGAGGAAAGAGGGGGAGAGAAAGAAGACTAAGACCCATATATAATATTTTATTATAAAAAATATAATTTAAAATGTTCAAGGATAAAAATGACCTAAAATCAAGTTCAGGGTACTTGCAAATTCTAAGATAAAAATTTAGAGGCAAAAATGACTCAATGTCAAGTTTAAGATAGTGGCAGACCTAGGGATAAAGTTCATGGATAAAAGTGACCATCAACTTCTTTTATTTAATTCTATATGTGTGTGTGCATGTGCTCCACATCATGAATATACTTTACATGTTAAATTAAGTTGAGAGTCAATTTGTGTTTAAAAAATTAAATGATTAATTTGATGGTTTAAGAAAATGTATGAGATCAAATTGATAAAAATTAAATTTGAGAGACTAAATTGAACATTGAGATAAACTTGAGGGACTAAAAATTTTACTATCCTTTTTTTTTAAATTATGTCTAGCCTTTTTCATAGGAAAAATCACATCCAAGCACCTATAAAAATGCTATTTATAGATAAAGATTAATACAGAATAGATTATTGTTAAAATGAAAATTTAGACCCTTTTTTTTTAATGATAACTTGTTATCAATCATTGCCTATGAATAACATTATTTATAGGTCCTTGGATGTGATTCCCCTGTTTCCATAATAGAGAGAGAGAGACACACACACGGTTACACATAATGCAAGGTTCAAATCTTAGGCCTCACGCTCAAATAAAGATGGTGTTGTAACTAAGATATTTAGAGATTGACTTACTATAAGATAAAATTTGAAAGCATTTTTGTCCATAATATAAGGCAAAGTTAGAGTAATTAATGTTATTTTTCTAATTTTATCCCTTAATTATTTATTATTGTTTGACTTTCCAGACAATCATTTATCATGATTATTAATTGCAAAGGAAGGTAAAATTGAAGCATAACATTTTTTTAACAATTTCAAAGAGGTAACTAACATTTCTTCATAGGCAACAAATTAATTAAATTTTCCTTATATTAAGGACTAGACAGAGTATAATGTTTTCTTAAACAAAAATCAAGGTTAAAATATAAAAAACTTTCTTGAGCTTTAAGGCCATTGTCTTTGACACTTCTCACCTTTAAATGTTTAAAATTAACCTCACTTCCTTCTATTTTTCTTTTCAAAACCCCCTACCATTAGTAACTCTGTTATCTTTGTTGTACTCTCCACAAGTGCACGAGCCATCACTAGTGCAAAATGGTATTTTAACAATAGACTTTTTGCCACAGTTTCCAAAATACCTATGGTAAAAAATGTAACATCTTGGAGAATTTAATCCTTAACTAACTGAGTAAATGAAGTTAATTAAATAAATTAATGTGGTGTATAGTTATAGAGAGCTAATAAGTGTTATAGGTTGTGATTTCAGCCCTAAGATTGAGTCTGGAGCAAGGTTAGGCTACCTGGACATCAAAAAGTGAGAAAAATAAAAGGAAAAGGCTCTGTGCCACATGTTGTGGCATATCATACATGGGCCACAAGGAGGTAAGATCATGCTCTCTACACCATATGTTGCAGTGCATAGAGACTGGCGCCATAGTGCATGGTATAAATTTTGCAGAAGTAAGTCATGAAATTGATGCAGAACAAAAGAGAAACAAAAGGATAAATGGTTTAGAAGCATTGGGAGTATTTTAAAGCTTCCAACCACTGAAGGTAAGTTTCCTAGGGTTGAATCTCTCTTTCTCTTCCATTTTTCTTGAAGTTGAAAGTTAAAGTTTGTTGAAAAAGATAATTTTTGATCCATAAAGGCTATAGGTCTAAACCCATTGACTTAAATAGAGTTAATGGGAGTTATTTAAGCTATTTAAACCTAACATTTATGACTTTATGCATTTTTGGTTATTGAAAGCCATCAATATATGAAATTCCACCATTAAGGAGGTGGTTGGAGCAATGTGGCTCCATTTAGGGTGAGCAAGTGACTTGTGACCTCATAAACCCACTTATACTCGCATGTATTTAGCTAATTTGGGCTAACCCAAACCTGGCCAGAAATAAAAACGGGCGAGCTAGATAAAAAAGGGGCTAGAAAAAAATATGTGCAGGACAGGCTATAGGAGACCTTCGAGCTGCCCATTCCCACCCATATATATATATATATATATATTATTTTTATTAAAAATTCTATTAGATTGAGTCAGTCCAAAATTTAGCCAAAAAAGTCAATCCAAAAAATCACATGTAAAGCCTAACCCATTAACCTCCCCACCTTATGTCACACATTTGCAAATTCCCATTTCCCAAATAAAAGAACCTTAGCATCTTATCTTTTCACTCCTCTCTCTTGCTGACTTTGTCAATGCCTAAGCTTTGTCACCTTCTCGTTTATGGCAAGGCTGAAGTTAAAGGAGACCAAAAGGACTTGTAGGAAGAAATCAAAAAATAAGTAATTTGCACCTTTCGAGTATGTACTTTGTTGCCCTTCTTCTTCAATCTTTATCTGAAACCCTTACATCTCCCTCCATTGCTACTATGGGATGACTAGTTACCTTGTCTACCTCTGTTGCCTGTCGATACATCCCTTTTCATCCAACTAGTGCTTGTCTTCTCTTCTTGCTTCACTCAACATCAGATTCCTTCACTCATTCTTGCTTTACCTTTATCTAGATCTGAAGTATAATAAACTTGTTGATGAATTGCTTTGATGAATTTTTTGGTACTTGGCTTGGGTGTAATTTGGGAATAATCATTACACTTTAGGAAATTTTGATGAATTTGAATTTGATCTAGGTTAATTTAAGATTTGGCAAACAATGCTTTATTTATTTCTTAGCTTTCTAAAATTTTTTTTGTTAAAGGATTGAAGAGTTTTGGAAATTAGATAGGTTTTTGCTAGTGTTTTTAATTAAAATGAGGCTAGTACACAAAACAGGTTACACTTAACTTGCTTATATCTATATGAGTTAGCCTAGCTCATTTTGCTGTATACAAGTACGAGCTGGCCCAACCCATTTTGTACAAAATGGGATGGGCTGCAGGCAACCCCTTAGGCCAGCCTGTCCTGCCCGTTGCATAGCCCTAGCTCCATTAACAGTTATTTAAGAGTTCAATGAAGTTAATGAGAGTTAGAGAAAGCTAAGAAACTCTATAGGTACCTTTGTATGTGAAGGGATTGAATCTTAAGAGTAAAGAAGTGTTAAATTAGATAGTGAAAATTACTGAAAGGGATATTGATAATTTATATTGTGATTAAATGTAAAGGGATCACATTTGGCATCATTCAAGCTTTGTGAAAGCTTTAGGAGTGATTAATTGAGGGGTAAAACCTTTCAACCTCTTAAAAGTTTGAGGTAATTAGGGAAACCTCTTTCTTGTGCTTTTATATGTTAATTTCTTTATTGTTTAAAAATGTTATATTTGGAGTACGTGAAATTTATTGAAATGAAATTGTGATATAAAATATCTTGAAAAATCAAATATGATCATGTGTAATGAAGTTCAATGATTTTGTGTGATTGTATGGAGTTTAATGTTATGGTTTATGGAGTTTAATGATGTGTGTAAAATGTGAAGTTCAATGAATGTGAGAAATTGAAAGTTCCATGAATGTTTATAAGCGGAGTCCAATGATGTGTTTTTTAAGAAGTTTAATGAAGTGTGTATTAGTGGAGTTCAATGATGCAAAGTAAAGTAGAGTCTTGTGACTGGTTGGGATGTGTTTATGTGATGAACATATGTAACATGAATACGATGATAGTATTAAGCATGCCTGAACATTATGTAATTTTGCATGTTATGTGATATTGTATTTATGCACTGCATGATCATGAGAGGCAAGAGTTTACTTAGAAAGTGAAGTAGTAAGTTGAAATCTATATGGTAAGGCTTCCATCAGAGCTCAATGGTTTATGTGGATTTATTATTCATATTGTTTTATTTGTTCAACGAGGGACTATTTTACTAGTTCAATGAAGGACTCAAACCTAACTAATTATCCACTTGTTTGACAAGGAAGCTAGTTTAGAGACAATGACACTCTACAGCATGAGATTTGGGGGAAACTGTGACCCACAAGTTAGATAGGCAACCTTAGCCGAGTAACCTCTCACACATGAATGGCTAGAGTAGTCTCATCTCTTATATGAGCCCAGTGTATTTTAGCCTATAGTTTCATATTAGAGGCATAAGGAGGATATAAGGGAGGTGTAATCATGCATATAATGATAAAAGGGCATATAGTTGTCAGTATTGTGACCCTAGTGAAAAAAAATCATGTGATTAGTCTTATATCCATGTGACTTTATGTTATCAAGTTATTATCTCATGATTATATGCTACTACAAATGAGAAATGTGAATAGTATTCTTCAACATGCTAAATGATTTAAGAATGATATCTTTTCCACCTACATTTAAATTTATTAACATGTATTAGTATAAGTTAGAGATTCATTAGTTACTGAGTGGTTGTACTTACCCTTTCT